CCTATCTTTCCAGGTATTGTTTATGTTTTCATTTAAGAATAGCGTCATGTGCGCGTCTTTAGAAGATGCACATACAACAACTACAAACAAAGATTCGAACACAATTGTCATTATAACACGTTACTTTGCAACGAGTTACTTAATTTGGCAATGAAAATAATTTACTATTGTTTATTTACAACACTGATAAACACTAGTTTCTTTAACGTAGCAACCAATTAGCGTCGTGCCACTAATTAAACTCAGTGATGGACATAAAATAACAATCATAGATCCGTACTTTGCCCCTACACTACGAGTAGTAAATAAAAAACCAATGACCTCCAATCAAGTGATCATTAAAGTTTATCAGGACATCAATGAATGGATGTGCAGTGGGAACTGACTATTTTCCTCTTTACAATTCACACAATCGGCCATATTGGTTTACTTATTTACTTTGCAGCGTTATTGTGACAGCTTTGTTGTTTGTTTTCAGTATAATAAGCGTTATACCTTGTGAGGTAAATGCGTTGTAACTTCATTATATCAGAGGGTAACGCCATCTTTTGAAATAATTGTGCAAACGTTGTTCTATTTATTTTATTCGCTAAAAGATGGCGGTGTTCTCTAATGAGGTTTGTTTACTTAGTACGGTTTGTAAACAAATATTAGTTAACCTCATAACCAATAGATTACGCGTGATTATCGTTTTTGAGATGGTTTCAGAGACTGGTTATTGGTTTAATGGATGTTTATGAGTAATGTCACAAACTTAAAATCTAAATGAATTCGATGCGCAATAATGCACCAGTCCTCTTCGATTGATATTATTATTTCAGTCTAAATCTAAAATACATTTGTTAAACTTCAAACAAAATAAAACAAAAATGCAATGCACATGCGCATTCCATTCGTAATCCCATACAAATGATTTCAATAACTTTTTCCACGTAACGTTGGCTGCATACCGTATCGGTGTGACGTAACGCCTCGTATTTGTTTTGTTTAGCCGGCAACTTTAGCGGGGTCACGACTTGTTTTCAATACATTTAGATTTTGTTGACGGCCAGTTGTTCCATCTGTTTGTTTTACACCAATCAATGAAATTAATTGACTGCCTCGTTGGCCTAGTGGTCGTAAATGTGACTGCCGGACAAGGGGTCTCGGGATCGATTCCCGGGTCGAGCAAAATACTACTGGGTTTTTAAAAAATTCTCAGTAGTAGCACGGAGTCTGGAATTGTGCACGGTATATGGCAATTGGCTCACCCCCTATTGCATAGGACTAATAACACGAAAAGTGAAAAGTGGGTGGTTTGTACAGTGGCATAATGTGCACATCTGCCTACCCCTTCGGGCATAAAAGGCGTGATGTTATGTTATGTTATAAAATTAATTTAACATTACACCTCTTTCGTGAAAGGTTCAGGCAGGTGTGTCCTTGTAAGGTAATAGACCTAGACTAGATATGTAATTTGGAATACATGGTCGGGGAGATTTGATACTAGGGAGTGTTCCATAACTACGAAGAAGAGTCGTTTGTTGAATATTAATCCAGGTTTACTAAAATCCCCCCCTTATTTCAGTACTGCAAAATATAAAGCAGGACGTACATGTATACTGTTAGGAATCCAGAAAAATCGACGTCAAACGACATTAAATAAACCATCAAACTGCTTCGAACCATTTCTCTTTATCAGTTCAATCTCCCAGCAGAGATTGCAAACGTCTATCTCGCTGAACTAAACTTTAATACTCGCGACCTAACTCGAAATACTGACTAATCTTAATCCTTACTAATATTATAAATCGGAAAGTGAGTTTGTTTGTTTGTTTGTTCCACTTTCACGCCGTAACTACTAAACCGAAACTAGAAATCCAGATTAAATAGTAGGGTACTTTTTATCCCGAAGAAATTTGATATTCCCGAGGGAAAACAAAAAGTATTGGTATAGATGGCGCTGTATGTATTGGTATATGTCACATAGGCTACTTTTTATCCTTTTGTGACGCGAGCGAATCTGCGGGTTAAAGCTAGTAAAATATAATTCCACACAACTACGTTCTAGGAAATTAAACCTGCATAGAATGTATGTAGGGTTCTGAATTAAATTAATATGAAATAGCACTAAGGAATTGCGATGTGGAGCACTAGACGTATTCAGATACGTTGCTGGAAGGCTGCGGGGAATGTGAAATAAGGACGCTTATGTGAACGTTGCGCGTTTGTCTTTATGCTGTCTACGACTGCGGTGCGATGTCGTGTGAAACTGGTCCATGTAGCTACTCTGGTGACTGACTAGTCGTGCTTCACATAACATAACATCATGCCTTTTATCCCCGAAGGGGTAGGCAGAGGTTTACATTATGCTACTGTACAATCTTTTATATATCTGTGGTACAATGTAACACCCACTTTTTACTATTTATGTTAGTAGTCCCATGTAATATGGGGTGATTATATCCATGCTATTGCCATATACCGAGCACAATTCCAGACTCCGTGCTACTACTGTGATTTTTTTTTTAAAAACCCTGTAGTACTTTAGTCGTGCTTTTGAGGGTTTAATGATGGAGTGTGATTTGTGGTGACACATTCACGCAAAAACGTTTAAAGATCATATTAATCAATTAAGGATAAATATTATTCAAATATGTTTTCTTTCTTTATAATGTTTTCTTTTGTTGTTGTAAGTGAACGCAGCCTTATACAAAAACCAGACCACTAAAATGACTATAAAATGTTTGTATTAAAAATGCCATATCTATCCAAAATAACGAGCCGTATAATATAACTTAGTCTGGTATTTTTATTGTCTCCACGGAACAACTGTTCAGCATAAAAACTTATTTTATCATCCACATCGGTTTTATGACGTAGTTAGTGCCCATACGTGATGTCCTATAAACTCAGGAGTACCAAACACGCGTTTACTTTGTCCTTGGACAATTTTGGAGGAGTCGTGACTACACAATGCTCGGATAAGTTTTCAGATGACTTTAATTCTCAGAAGTCAAGTCTGGGTTTTTGTCTGTTGTATAGCGAGCAACAGATGTAACGTACTCAAGACATTTTAACACATTCTCCATTCAAAAAATGTTTATTACGTTGATATCGTGTGTAGAATGGAAAGCTATTAAATATGATTTCAGACGGTCGGGTTACTTAGAAAATCGTATTCCAGCAAAATAAGTAGATATTCATGAATAAATATTTTAATAAACAGAGAGCTTGTTGAGAGGAAGTTGTAAGCTATTCGTAACGCTCAATATAGCGCTAGGATGCGAGAATACAGGCGATATGATAGCGTTAGTAGGCGTTATGGCGGGCTGGCGGGGTGGTGGATGCTAACGGTGGCAGATTTATTTATATGGGACTGCAATGTGGGCAGGCACTCGGCTTAACATGTCGACTTTCCGTAACGAGCACCATATTCACGTCTCCTTTACAAGGAATGCGAAGTCTCCGGTACTTGGTAGATACTTAAAAATTTCCTTCTAAATGAGATCGCAGATTTTCCCTCAGCGCCAAGATTTGCAAAAAATATCCTACTTAAATTTTTAAGAGCTTTTCTGTATGATAATTAAAACTGTTTTCAGCAAAAAATCTGCCTCAAGTCAACCAATTACGAGGGCACAATTTTGAATGAATAAACGAGTCGGCCTTTTCATTTTCCTCACCCGAATTAGAGCATTCTAAATTGGATCTTATATGGATACATTTTAGTGTGGAATTGGTTCGCTCTATTTCTATTTACGGTATCTTACGTTTGATCATATAAGTTATGCATGTGGCTGAGGTTCTGAACGCGAAGTTGAAAGTTCTAAAATGGGCTACGAGCTTGCAAAGTGGGTTTGAATGTGTTCTACGAGTCTGTACGATCGGATTCCATTCTTGCATTCATCGTACACATTCATAGTACTCTGATATGAGCAGAAATGTTGACTTTTCTCCGTACTACATTCGCCGTGCGTTGTAAGCGAATGCATTGATCTCAATTTGAATGGTAGTATGAATGTGTTCTCGTGTTCATAGATGAGCAGTAGGCGTGTGCTCTATTCTGAAATTTATTGAAACTTGGTCATGGAAACATCTATTATTGTAAGCGTACAATAACAACCGGCCGCTTCATATCATACATACTGAACGTTGTACCTATTCCAAAATAAACGTAAAATAACTACAGTTTGTTATTTTTCTGAAGTGAGTTTAAATAAAAATAATCTCCGTCTAGACGGCCCATTGATCGTTATAATGCTTTGACAATTTCAGTGCAGATCAAAATAGTCTGTGAAGCAGACATAACAAACTCCCCTAGCATTCAGGCTGGAGTGCATTCAGAGCGTTGCCACGGCAACTGTTCATTACGACCTACGTCACTGGCGCTGCCTGTCCGCTTATTGAATTTACTGCACTGCGGGCGCCAATAAGCGGCACGTTGTACTCTGCTATCTTACATGAAATATAGTTTTAGGTCATTAACTAAGTTATTGAGTACCTACATAATCTCAACATGACCATGTTGGCGCCCGACAGAGCCCAACATGTACCACATTGGGCGCCAAATATTGATTGTTTATGTCCTCAACTTAAAATAGTGTTGTAATTCTTAAAATGCGTTTTCTGCTTGGTAGATGTCCAAGTTACGACTAATAATGGTACTTGGAATTATTAATGGGAAAATTGTGAAGCTTTTTGAAGGAAACTTGTTTTCTTGTATACTCGAATAAACAATTTAATCTCGGATTAAGGATATATTTTTAATTATCCTCGTGCCGAGGTACATTTAGCCATTTTATTGATTGAAGAATATTTGATAGATTCGTAGGGAAATGTTCTGAACAAATCGCTCTTATGGAATTTTCTATTTTCGAAAATTCCGAGTTCAGAGTTTAGCTGTTACACGATATTCATAACGTAACTGGTTTTCTTCCTCTGCAAGGAATTAGCCGGTGCGAGTTTCAGCACGTGTTTATGTATTCTAGTATTCTAATAAGGTTTTATTCTCCGTTTTTCAGATGCACACTTCGTTTCCCTTCCACGAATATTCGACTGGAGTTCCAGTCGCTGGTGGAGGAGAGCGGCGGCGGGGCTGGAGGTAGCTCCGGCCAGATGCCTCCGCTGCGCATCACCATCCCCTCAGACAGTGACGGCCGAAGCCCTGCGCCTTCGCCTACCGGTAACTTATCAGATTTATAGAGGACCCTTCTCTGTGTAGGGAAATTATTTATGAATTGAATCTGAATTTTTCATAAAACATGATGTAGTTTTTATTTTAATATACAAAAATAATGACTTCACTCAAGAAATACAGTACATTTCCTTTGCCTCAGAAATTCTAAGCAGCATAAAGAAGTCATACCTGTTGTAAATTCACGAATACTATACTAGGTACTTGTTATGTACCTTAATTCTTAACGCGATGGTCCCACGTTACAGGTACAATAAGCGCCGCCAACAGCTGTCCGACGTCGCCACGCGGAGCTGGTTCCTCGGGCCGACGGCACGCAGACCTCGGCCTCGTAGCTCACTACGCCGCGCTGGCAGACCATGCACGGCCCAACTCTAATGGGACTGCTGTAAGTATTCAATATTGAACAAGAGTTATTTGCTTCCTCGCCCCCATCGTGGAGGATGCTCCTATCACCAACCATCTCCAATCCTCAAATCTCTTACTCCCAAAAGGTTGGAATGCACTCGTAAGTTCTCTAGTGTTGCGAGTGTCCATACCCGGTGCTGATTGCTTACCATCAGATGATCCGTCGGCTCGTTTGCCGTCTTATGTCATAAAAATCATTAAACTTTAAAAATAAGAATTTGTTTACCTGACGTTAGTTTTAAAAGTCATTTAAATTTTCTTTAAAAAATATGTAATAATAATTAACTAATACAGTAATAAAAGAAACACTTCTTACATTGCAGGCGTCTTCCTCGAACTCTGACTCAGGCTACGGCAGCACGCGCGACGTGCGCGAGGCCCGCGAGCCCCGCGAGGCGCGCGACGACGCCAAGCCGCCGTACAGCTACGCGCAGCTCATCGTGCAAGCTGTCGCCTCCGCGCCCGACAAGCAGCTCACGCTCAGCGGCATCTACAGCTACATCACCAAGCACTACCCTTACTACCGCACTGCCGACAAAGGCTGGCAAAATTCCATTCGTCACAATCTATCGCTCAATAGGTCAGTACCAGTCCCTGTGTAGAGTAAGACAAAGTGTACTTCTTCTATCTTGCAGATTGCTCCATGTCATAACTGCATAACGAGTCATATCACTCTCTCAATCACGTAATTATACGTAGAGAATTTATGTCCAAGTTCTCAATTAAAACACTAACCTATTGACTAAAATCGTCTGTCACAAAAATTTTGGTAATTATCAGAAAGATTATCAATTAATAGACTTTATACTAATAAACTGTCAAACACCGCGAGGACACCGGTGACCGCAACCTATTGTTCTTTAATCGTGTCTATAATGACGGTACTCAAAGGGTTAATCTGATTATCCTTATTCAAGTTCTCACACCCTTTACCTCATCTTCCAGATACTTCATCAAGGTCCCGCGCAGTCAAGAAGAGCCCGGTAAGGGCAGCTTCTGGCGCATAGATCCTCAGAGCGAAGGCAAACTGATCGAGCTCGCCTTCCGTCCGCGGCGTCCTAGGGGCGTGCAGTTTCGGGCACCCTTCGGGCTCTCTTCCAGGTAACATATACTTAAAGCACGATAAAAGTATTTTGTAGATTCACAAACTGTAGGTAATAATAGGTATGGTTACGAAAACCTAGAAAATTGTTTCTGAAATAACGCTTATAGAGGGAAACCTCAAGATAGAAATAACTGCTGACCAAGATCGTCGTTATCAAGCATATTGTCAGCTAACGAGCACATGATCCAAAGCATCTATCGTCCACCTTGTGAGGCACCAACAAAAATAGTTCATCAAGCACCTACGTCCTAAAGCTTCGATTATTTAGTTTAGTTTTTCATCAGGCCTAGTAGTTAGATCTAAAAAGACCTATACAAGTATCGTCTAATGTCGACAGGTGCTTTTCAAGTAAAGTTGCCAGATCGAAAGTCAAGAAAAAACCATAACCGAATCCGGACAGGATCGTGCTTAGTTTTAAGCAAAGAGATGTTATAAATCAATCACGAGTTACCCTAAATCTGGGGTAGACAGAGAGGTAACGGCCGGTTGTTTATCAAAGCTGTTATCAATGTTGTGTCGAGGCGCTTTCTGGCGCTTCTCCTCTGACCGTAGTTAGGTTTCATTTGGTTATTCTGCAAATCAAATTTCATCCAACTGGGTAGAGACTACATTTTGGCCTGAAAGATTGCCTCTGGTTATGTGTAGTGTTGAATTTGAATAATTTATTTGTCTCCAACTTTGGGGGGGCTTTGAAAAGTCCCCAGCGCCAGTGGGCGGCTCGATACAAGTAGAGTGTAGTGTGGAGATGAGGATGATGAAGATGATGTATGATGTACAGGAGCGCGCCGACGTCACCGTCGCAGGTGGGGGTGTCGGGGCTCGTCACGCCCGAGGAGCTCTCGCGCGAGCCCACTCCTGACCTCTTCCCTCCGGAGGATCAGGACCAGCAGATCAACTCCTCGGTAAGATACTACACTAATCTTTAGGGGCAATGACACTTAAACTGTCAAACACCAAGCGGTCACCGGTGACCGCGACCTATTGTTCTTTAATTGTGTCTATAAAACCGGTACTCGACGAGTTAAAAGCTTAAGAACTTTTTAAACTTGTTATTAGTATGACTGTATCATTATCTATATTTTCCCGTTAATTACTAAAAGAAAAAAATGATACACAAAAACGTTTGAAAAGTATGTACCTCAAGTTAGAAAGACTTTTTTTTGTTACAAGTCTATTTCATTACTTTAGCTATAACTTAAAATCCATAGCATTTGTGTTTCAGCAATACATGAACAACATTGTGCTAAATGTAATGAAATAATTTGCAGGCGAGTCAGCAACGGTTGAGCAGCAATAACAGCCAGTCGACGCAGTATCTGTTCCCGCAACGTAGCGGGGTCAGCCAGAGTGCGCCCGGCTCGCCAGGTCCTTACAATCACATTATACCTTCTCACTGACTAACGAAAATCATTTAACAGTAGCGTCAAAGTGGTGAAATCGCATAACAAATGATTCTCCTACAAAGGGTTTACTTGTTACACACTTAATGCCGGAATACTGAAACGTTACTCAATTTTAAGTCGTGCTTAAATATCGTGCCATCTCTGTCATTTTACAAAGAATTTGTGGAGACAGAACTATACTTAAGCGCGACTATAAAATTGAGTAACGTTTCAGTATTCGGGCATAAGTTTCGTAACGTTAAATAAATTAATAATAACGTGTTTAAAAGTCGATGTAGTTACCTTTACCCAAAATCTGACATCAATTACAAATCGTATGCCATTTCGGAGAATATATCGACGAACCCTTAGCTAACCTTGTGATGTTACTATAGATAGAGTACTGTACACCAAACTTGGTATAAAAGGACATAAATATAACAACGAATTAAAATTATGTAAATCTTTGTCCAGGCCACGGCCTTGCGTACAGCGCGGGCAGCGGCGCGCTAGTGATGGCTGGACACCAGATCACCGTAGTCACCAACGGAGCCGGCGGAGAGAGAGAAGGTACATGAGAGTAGTTCTTCTAGCAGGTCTATATGGATACAGAACTTTGCTAAGGCTTTTAGACAACCTTAGCCATGTCAATATTCTACTAACAATGATTATGGTGTTCCGAAGAAGTTTCTGCACTGATTTATGATCATTTATATATATTCGCTATTAATTTAAATTTTATACGTTTGGAACTTTCTACTTGCATATTTTTGTTATACTATTGGTGTAAGTCTAGAGTTCCTCAGGGTATTATATTGGGTCCATCATATTTTTAACCTACTGACTGTAAAAATGCGATAAACTGATGTGGTATTTTTTAATGTTTCCAGAGAAGTACGTGGTGGGCACGACTGGTGGCAACCTGGTCTCCATCCAGGAGGAGGAAGTGCCCGCCAACGTCGTCATACACCAGCACTCCCCTTACTACGGGTATGTTTCTTTTAAACTATAAACAGTTTTCTCCTCATTCGGGTGGTTATTATTCGGTTCCCTTCTTATTCGAGTGGTTATGAACGTGACTTCCACGTAAGGAATCTCAGGTTGGTTATAAATACATTTGAGCTTAATATTTGATGAGTCTGATAATCTGATTCCAGCGGTGGCTACGGGTCTGGTGGAGGCGAGGACTGCGGCGCGGTGGGAGGCGAGCTCGTCATCTCCGAGGCAGACCAGCTCGCGCACCCGCCGCACAAGCGGGCCAGGCACAACAACGTACGTATATATACACCTCGCGGACACAAGCGGGCCAGGCACAACGACGTACGTATATATACACCTCGCGGACACAAGCGGGCCAGGCACAACGACGTACGTATATATACACCTCGCGGACACAAGCGGGCCAGGCACAACGACGTACGTATATATACACCTCGCGGACACAAGCGGGCCAGGCACAACGACGTACGTATATATACACCTCGCGGACACAGGACACAAGCGGGCCAGGCACAACGACGTACGTATATATACACCTCGCGGACACAAGCGGGCCAGGCACAACGACGTACGTATATATACACCTCGCGGACACAAGCGGGCCAGGCACAACGACGTACGTATATATACACCTCGCGGACACAAGCGGGCCAGGCACAACAACGTACGTATATATACACCTCGCGGACACAAGCGGGCCAGGCACAACAACGTACGTATATATACACCTCGCGGACACAAGCGGGCCAGGCACAACGACGTACGTATATATACACCTCGCGGACACAAGCGGGCCAGGCACAACGACGTACGTATATATACACCTCGCCGCCCGCCGCCACTCATGGACTCGTGTCGTTGCAGATGTCGGAGCTAGAGGAGCGGCGCGCATATTGACGCGGCCAGCCGGGCGGCGCGCGCCCCCCGCGCGCCCCGCGCCCGCCGCGCCCCCCGCGCCCCGCCCTCCGCCCCACACCGCGTGCGCGCCCGGCACGCTAGTGTCGCGCTGGCGCCCCGCTAGCGCCACGCTAGTGCCCCGCTAGCGCCACGCTAGTGCCCCGCTAGCGCCACGCTAGTGCCGCGCTAGCGCTGCCCCGGCCACGCCCTGCGTCGACCCTTGAGGCGCCGTCACCTCCCCCTATCGAATACCCTCGTCCTGTAATATTTCATTCTTTGTAGAACACTAGTGCAATATTGTACGATGCTGTTAACTTGGCCTTCTGAAGGCCCGTGATTCGCAATAAATGACAGTTTAACGACTTGATTCTGTTTGCTTTCATACTCTAGTACTATACAGTCCAATAAGCTTTATGAGCTGACATTAGTACGAATATGACATTGGAACTGGTCACAATAGTCTGTTTGTTTGTTCGCTCATCGGTCGACGCACAGAGGATATCGTAGCAATAATAGTGATACGGAACTATGAACAATTGGGTTGTTGAACAAGACAGTGTAGTATTAGTGTCGTGTGTTAAGTTGTACTCTTTAAGTTTAAAACTTTTGTTCAGTAAGACGCGAACGAGCTTTAAGGTGAAGGATTTAGGAGTGACGTAAGATGGTAACGTTTCGCTGTTTATATATAATTTTCACTATATATTAATAATATATACGCTTCACACGCGCCCGCGACTCGGGCGCTGTACACAGATTGCATATTATTACAAATATATGAGCGATATTACATTGAGCGGGGATACCGCTCAACTTTAGTTAGCTGCCTTGAAAACTAAGAGCCTTTAAACAAGACTAAAATGAAAAAATCTGATACAATAAATATAACCATATCAGAATAACAGAGGTTTCTTGCAAGTATCGAAGTAAGTTAGCAATGTGCGAAGCCGCGCTGAACTATCGTACGGCGCGTCTGTATACGCACCTAGTACTGGGTTGCCAGCTTCGAAAATATTCGAAAGTATTGCCAAGCTTGAATATAATATTATGTAAAATATGTGTGTGTAAAAACGTTAGGGTCTATAGTGAGTAATAGATATTGTATGGAATGTACACTGACTGTAATAACTTATAGAATTGCTGCAAAGGTTAACACTGTAACGCCTAGAATCTCGAGATTAGTGGAATATTTCTGAGGCTGGCATTAATATCTAAGGTGAGTGCAATGGTAGTAGTAACAAGTTGATGAAGTATATAATTGTATGTATCGAATATTACGCGTATTTGTTTGGGGATAGGCAATGTTTGTACGTTGATGCATGCCACTAACACCAATTAAAGTACGGATTTTGTAAATGAAGAGTAACAAGTGACTGTCAGTCGAAATTATCATATGACAGATATTGGCATTCTCCAAACAAAATTCACAGATCAATACAATAGTTCAATGTTTAAAGCATACTCCAAGAGTTGAACTCGTTGAAATTAAATTAATAAATGTATAAACAATGTAGGTACGATTTTGTCAAATGGGTACTGGACGCACTCTCATTGTATCGAAGATTCGTCCCACCAGTTACCACTGAGTAGATGATAAATGGAATGCGTACAATAACATGTCTCGTACGTTCACAACTGCCATAGTAGAATGGTGATTTTAATTGGAAAAAGTGGCAACATTCGTTGCTACACGAGCACTCCATTTCTTTACTACTCCGTGTCTCTGTAGAACCCTCGATATGTCGTGTGTGTATATGAAACTATTTGAAAATCAAATTGATATACGTTTACGACCCGTTTCGATGAAAGTGAATAGAGTTTGAAGCACTATCGATTTTGCATTCAAATTGCTCCGAGCTCTGTTTAAGTTTTTTGAACATGGTGAGAATATTGCAATGATTGTTGTATTTAAAAATCATAGCGAATTTAAACGCAGGTGCAACGACCTACGAGATCTTAGTTAAAATAAATTGTAATAAAATAATTTTTCTATAGGAAAATATACACGTAATGTTCTCGAGTAAATACGGAAATCATTTTTGTCGTAGAAAGATATTTCGATTCTTTTATTTACTATTGTACTATATATGTAAAGGCCATTTTAAATACTATATTTACACTTGTATTTGTCATTATAACACCGTTCACGAATTTTTAGATGGAAGTTACTGTTGTAAAACGTTTAGTAAAATAATTAATGAATTTTAGGTAGCTATAAATACCTCTGTAATAATTCTTTCAGTATAATGATAAAATTTTGATAAGGGGCTCGTTGCACCTCTATAAAATGATAAAAAAACATTAGGACGAGTTTCTACTATTATACTAACATATTACATGTACAGATATACATTTAATTCATATATACAAAGGAACTGTTGACTATAGCGCTTACTCATATATGTACACTCGAAAATATATATACTTCGTATTATACATGTATCTCCAACATATATTTAAATATAAAATTAAAGACATTTTCATTAAGCCGGCAAAAGTACCTACAATATTCTTGTGATTTAGCTTAGATGAACAAGTTACTTTTGTGTTCTCTTTACGGAATAATTTCTCCCTCGTTTTAGGTGTATAAACATAATTATTATAAATAAATAATAATATAGTAATTGAATATGTAAAGTAATATTCACTAGTAGTTGGTAATATGTTATTATTATTATAAAGATAGTGTAAAAACCCGCAAATCTACAGTTAGTTTATAATTTAGCATTTAAATATGCGTATACACGTGGATTGTAATAGTTTAGCAAGAGGCTTTCTTATGGAACAAATTTGTATTTTGTCTTACGTGCCCTTACAATATAACTGTAATGGAATTGGAGAACATTTGCCACAACTTTCGACCGAGTCGAAACTACTTCCATATTTTATTTCTTAACTCAAGACAACAATATCGGCTAAACATCTTTGTAGTGTGACATCGATGTATGTCGATTTTCGATTTATTTACATTTTTAGTAAAGACGACACGCCATTTTGCTTTTTAAAATGGCATTAACAATATAAAAACTTGGAGTAATATTATATCGCTCGCCGCCGACAGAGGGCGGCAGATATCACGACGGGGGTTATTGTAAAAACATTTGTATAGAAACTTGATTTGTTGATATTATATTTAGATATTTACGTATTTGGATGGATGGCTATGGTAGAATACAATCTCAGTATAAGTATATGCATGTACCTATTCATACATGTTTCTCTGTTAACCTGAAATAATACGAAGCTACATAATAATGATAAGTAATGAATACACTACGTTAATATAAAGTTTACATATATGATCCTATTCTCTATCCAAATGTGTAAAATGTCTAGAACAAGCAATTCCTGCTCGAGGCTCGACGTGAGGCCACAGGGCACGCGACGCGCGGTTACAAACCGCGCCGACTGGAAGACTGGCTCACTGTGTCGTGTGGACCGAGCCTGTATAGCTACTCTGTAATATTGCTTCCAAAATACGTTGCTCGTATCTCGACGAACGAAAGGAATTTTACTAGTTTGCTGCTTATTTTGTGTGTAATCGGGAGTACTATATGGGGCAAGCAATTCACATAAAGTACTGCTATCGTTTTATATGAGAACACGTCGAACCCGTCGAACCCAGTAAACATTCTCGCGACGATATCGGCTCTCGATGTGAATTGACTACGCCGGCCTCCAGCACTAGCATAAACTGAGCAAGTCCTGGTGACTTTAGATGTAACGTAGACTATATAAGGCATATATATAAGGCATTTAATGCTATACTATTTCTTGTCTAAACAATGTATGCGCGAAACATTTATGCGGAGGAAGTTCTCTTGGTATGTACCTCTAGTGAGGTATCTTTTAAAGTTCAATATAAATAAAAAAATAACAGTTTGATGATGAGATTTAAATCTGTTCATTGCATGATAATCTCTCATTATAATGTTAAAATTATTCGAGATCTACTTAAAATTCTGTCTCTACCATTAGAGGTACATACACAGCGAAGTTTCTCCGTGTGTATATTTTGTGAATGTATGTAGGGAAGGTACATAATGTTGTGTATATTGATATAGATAAGAACACGCATACGAGAGATGTAAAGGATATCGGTTGTAATGACAGCGTATGGTTTATTGACAAATTTTAAGAAATAAACGTATTTTATCTCCTTACGCGGTTTGTTTTATTTTTCTCTATTGCTTTGAGGTCTATGATTGGCCACTAATGCACGCTACACACTTAAAACTGGACAGTTAAATAGTTAGGTGTGTAAATAGTTGATCTGTACAGGAGGCTCATTCATGAGTGATAGTTTCTGTAGCACGGTTAATGCTGCGACCGGGCAACTGGCTGCTGTGTAACATGTCGCGGGTTAGATTCCTGCCCTGGGTGCTTACTCTTGAAACCAATCACAATGGCAATGCAACTTTAATCCAAAAAAATCGCAATTATTATTCAATGTCTACACTATACAACCCCAATACGGAATATAAAGCCAAACTAAAAAATATTGTAATACCTGTTATTGGCTGCTATTTTTCCAAGATGAAGATTTTGAAAGAGTACCAAGAGTTTCAATTTTCAACGCTCTTGGAAAATTTTCCAGGCAACCTTAATTTCTGTTCAAATTATCAGACTACGATGACTTTAGAGTAGACTGTTAATTTTTCTTAAGTTCTGTATACTTAACGAGGGAAAAAAAGAAACTACTTATTTTGAGTTTTACAATTTCTGAATTGTAAAAATATGGGTAATTTTTTATTAATTTTTGCTTACACACATATAATTGACACAGCAGATACGGTGCTAACTACGCTCTGTCTAAGTACTTCATGAGTCATTCGGAAAGATTGTAATTAATAATAGTATTTATCTTTCAAGGGGCTATCCACAATTCCACACTTAACTCGAGCACCCCATGAGTGCGGTACCCTTACCTCATAGCTTAGATATTTCTCTTTGAACTTGATTTTACATTGCCTATAGTTGGTGACTACGTGACTACTTCACAC